CGGGAGAGGCGCCCCGAGGAGGGCGGGACCTTTTCCCGTCTTCTCCCAGGGACGCACCGGGCCAGGGCATCCAGGTCAGGTGCGGTGTCCGCACCCAGCTCGGCGCCCTGAGGGTGGCTCCCATGAAACGGTTTGGTGCTACAACTTTTCATTGTAAAAAATAATGATTTTTAAAATCAAGAAAGTAGGGAAATTGTCTTAATGAGATTATCTCCCTCTAGCGACTGTGCAGCTTACGCTGAGCTCAGGCTCTTCCGCGCACACGGGAAGCTGCTCGTCCGCACTGTCCGCTGCAGACTAGTGGGGCCGGGACGCTGGGCCGGGCTCGCCTCCCTCTGCTCGTCCTTGGAAAGCCGCTGGGCCTGGGCCCCGTCCACAAGCTCCTTTCCTGTGGGATTTCTAGCCAGGGATGCTCCCTCCTTCAGGCCATCAGACGACGTGCCGGGCGACCACCAGTGCTTACAGGGGACTAGGAGGATGACGGGTGACCGCAGAGGGTGAGTGATAACCTTGGCTGGAGGACCTGCTGACCTTGGAGTCGGCAGACCTGTCGCTGGAGGTCCGATCCCAAGCCTGACGTGAGCTCCCTTTCCCAGCCCCCTGCCCGCGCCCGCGTCACACTGGGGCGCTGCTCCCAGGATGCTGGGAACGGCCTCGCCTGGGGCCCAGCCCTCCAGCTCCTGTGCCACCTCTACCCTGACATCCATCCTGCTCCCCTCTCTCGTCTCCTTCCTGTCACCTTGCCCCCGACGCTCCTGACACCAGGACACCAGACTTCTCGACGTTACGAGAAGACCTCGCGCCTCCTCGAGCGCTGGGCTGGCTAGCGGCTCACCCCAGGGGCGTGGGCTCCCCGGGAGGGCACACTGGGCTTTCTGCTCTGGCCAGTGCTCTGCCTCCAGGCCTAGAACAATTTCCGACAGGCTGAGATGATCGATGTTGAACAATAAGCGAACCCCAAGAATGTCATGACGGATCGTGCTTGTTACCATTGATTTTTGTTCGACCCTTAATTCCTATTATGGTTTGAACTTTTCTTTTCATGGCAGTTTCAGTTTCAGGGGGAATAATTACTTATTCTTGACTCTCTAGGGCAGCAGGAGAAATCTTAAAAGCAGCTCTGACCACACCCCCACCTTACTACAAAAACAAACAAAACCTCCAGGAATGTTTAAGGTTTTGAGGTGCTGTGCGGACGACCACCCACCCCCCTCACCCTCATCCCCAGGCGTAGGCAGTGTCCTGCCCACTGAAGATCCTGGATAACACTCACCCGTGAGAAACCTCAGCGTGAAACCTGAACCAGGTCTACGGACTGTACGCAGGCCAGTGCCCACTTGTTACCCTCCAGGGGCAGGAAGGCCCAGCTGAGAAGCCTCTTCGAGCTTGAAGCCAGCTAACAGGAGGCAACCCGACTGGAGAGATCCGCGTTCTCTGCAGGGTAACCCACCAATCGGGGGGCCCCCTGGGCCCAGAAGTCCTGCTGTAACCTCTCACTGGAAAGAGGGGACAGGAGTCCAAGAGAACATGTCTGAGGACTGAAGTTCTCACATAGGGTTGACCGGGTTTGGAAAAAACAAAAAATCTAGCTGACCTTTTATACTGCTCCAGATAACACACACGGGATAAAAAGAGGAAGAAAAACTACCCTCTAAATGCAGCTGGTTTCCCATTCTTTTGAAGGAATATTCCTGTTGTTTTGTCTGAGTTCACGGGCAGATGTTCCCCCTCTTCTGAGAAACTCCTGAGATAAAGAGGAAAAGCAGAATTTCCATGACTCGCAGGCTGCGCGCAGTCCAAGGAGCCAGGAGCGAGTGCTCGGCGCCCCACTGCTTCCTTCCCGGAGTCAGGCTGGGCCGGGACCCACTTCCTCAGGAGCCAAACAGCCGACCTGACTCCCGACTCTCCGGCCAACAGCAGGAGCGGGGCAGCCCCTGCCTGGGCCCAGCAAGGGCTGGGGGGAAAGAGGGGCCAGCGCCCACGGCCAGGCTCAAGGGTGACATGGCAGCACTCAGAGCAAGTGACTGTCCCCGTGGTGACTCGGTCCCGTCAGAAACAAGCGTCCACTCACCATCGGCGTTTACTGGGTGCCTACTGGGTGTGCAACGCACTAGGCTGGGCGCCGGGAAGGGGCAGACAAGTCCTGGGGGCCGCCCTCAGAGGGCTGAGTCTAGTGTAGGGGCCGTCTCTGCAGGGGTCAGGGGTAGCTAACCTCCCCCACACCCCTCACAACAAAAGACAAACCACACACAAGAAAAAGAAAACACGAGTTCACTGGACTTGATTCCATCCCTTTCAGTTCAGCAGCTTCACATGAAAAGCATAAATCTGCAAACCTTCAAAATGCACCTGCACTCATAAAGCTCATTTTCATTAAAAATGAGAAAAAAGCTACTTACTGCAATTAAGAAAATCCTCAAACATCTTTGGTGTTTTCCTGAATTTTCTTATCAACCTGCACTTGTGAAGTAAACAACTGCCCGAGTTGCACCGGACAGGTGACCGTGCAGGCTCTGGGAGCAGCAGGGAAGGCTGCTGGAGTGGACGATGCTCCTGTGCGACCAGCTAACCCCTTTCACATCCACTCTAAGGATTATAAAACAACAGCTCCATTAACCCCCCCTCTCCCCAAAAGTCCAAGCCTTGATCACTACGCTTCAGACAGAAGAGAGAAGAAAGTTCATTATAACCTGATAGCCCATCTCTCAGAGCTACCACCAGGCTGGCCGGACCCAGCTGGAGTTGAGAGCTGCAGAATAATTCCAGGAAACAAAATCCAAATTAACCCACTGCCGCGTGACACCCTAAGGAACTTGTGAAGTTCTGTCATTTTCCTTCAAGCGTGAAGAAAGCAAATGTAATCAGCTAGGGGACAAAACATCGCTACAGCGACTTTAGGTTAAACTGCTGGAGAAAGGGGGCACGTGTGCACCCCAGGCCCAAAATAACTCGTTTCCGACCAGGAAGGCTGGGCAAGTGTCCTGCAATCATTCCCCTTTGCCAGAATCACATCTGGGCTCACGTTCCTAATCAGACGTAAGTTTCTGTAAGACTGAAGACTTGGGTCTTTGTGGAGACTTTATAAGACTTCCTTAAAACAGTGACGCTAAGGTAGATAAGGGCATCAAAGTGAACACAAATCTAACTCTTTTAAATGCAGAATCATGGGAAACTTAGAAAGCCGAGTTCCCGAGATGGTTTCTTTTCCCACCTTGGAGAATTATTTTCCCATTGAATTCAACTCAGTTAAACAGAAACCACGAATGACGCATTCCTCACGCTAGTCCGGCCACTAGAACCGTCCTCACCAACTTCCAAACAAGTGGGGAGGCTCGTCTAGCACGTTACAGCTCAAGTTCAACATTCACCTCCATGGAACACATGGGGCCATGGGGCCCCGCACGGCCTCTGGACTGCAGGCTGCCGCACCCACCTCCAGAAGGGACACGCACCCGGGTCTCCTGCTTGGATCCCAACAGGTGCTGCGTTTCCACGTCCGTGTGCACTAACCACATGCAGCAAGTTTCCTGGGTGTGAACCTAACAGGAATGATGTCAGATCCACGTAAATTACACGTCTATCATCTGCCTGCTCCACAGGACTCACGGGATTTGTGTTTAATCTCTGAACAGACACATTTTACAGATTGTGTGGTGTGAAGGAGCCACTATTGAAGTTAACTCGTCCAACTGTCACTTTGCAAACAGAGGCCCTGAAAAGTTTAACGAAAAAGCTGGGAGCCAAACCCATCGGTGCTCATGACATCTCACCTGTGCCCTTGCCGGGAACAGCTCACACAAAGCTGGTAAAACTACTGTAACCAAGTGGCGCAGCCTTTCACGACGTAATAGGAAAAGTCTTAGACACTATTCTGGGAAACGTCGGCCCTCTCTGGCCGCTGCTGGGACTGTAGCTATCACTGGTCCTGCTTTAAGGTGACTGACTGGGAGCCGCTCCCTTTGAGAATGCTGTTTGCCCTCCACAGAAAATCATGTGAAGTGTGACCACATAGTCATCCATGTGTTATCACGTTTAATCTAAATTATCTTCATCACTGGATTCTTTTACTTTTAACATAAGTAAAATTAACCATGCAGAGCAAGGAGTGCGAGGTCACCTCTGTTAAGGTGCCTGCAGCTTGAGAACTGGTCACCTCCACAGTGGATAGAGAACCTTTTTCAGGGGTGGCACAGAGGGTGCCCAGGGTCACAAAAAATGTGATGGAAGTTATATGTGAATTTTGATTGGTCTGTGGCCTGAGGTACAGGAGAAAAGCGGAGAGAACCAGGTCTGAGTGCAAGTTTAACCCCCTTCCTTGCCAGCTATGCAGCAGCCACCAACTCAGTAACTTGCGGGCTCCAGGTCCTCCACCTGCAGAGCTAGCATCTGCACTCTTGCTTCCTAGCTTATTGAGGATAACATACCTCAGTACCTGGAGCAGCTCATCAATAATTATTACTACCCCACAATTATTAAAATGTGGCCCTACAGAAAATGTTAAATAATTACCACTCAGTGGCACTAGGCACGCTCACTAGGACAAATTTCACTCAGAGGGGACCATGCAACATTTCAACTTTCACCGGCAGTGCTAAACCACACACAGAACACAAGGAAACGTTTCAGAGGAAGCGCTGACAAGACACATTCAGCTGACCTAAGAGACTGTAGAATAATTTACAGCACACACGGAGGCATTTAGTCTTTAAGTGGAGAAAGTCACCTGCAAGAAAAACAAGCATCATGGGCCTGCCCAAGGCAAACGGGATAAAACTCCGTCACTTCTGGCTACTTTGCAAACAAGGCTTCTCACAAGGGCCCACGTTAATGGTTCTAGTCATCAGACCCGAGGAGAGAGAGATGAAGGGCTTGTCTGCCTCAGTCACACCCAGGGCGAGGCACACACAGCTCCTTGGTCCCGGCACCTGCACTTGTTCGAGACCCTCCACACTCAGTGTCACAGTCCATTGACAGTGGAGACACAGGAGACACATCAAAGATGAACTTTCACAAATCCTGTTCAGTTTTCTTACCCTTACAATACTCCACTCTGGTGGACTTCTTTTTTTGTTTATTTTGACTGTAAAATCAAGTTTAAGCAGCACGTTAACCTTTCTCTTCAAATATACCTTTCGATGTTAGTTCTTATACAAAAAAAAAAATTTTAAATTAACAACCAAAAACAAAGAGAGATGCAAGGGAAGACATAAATGAGATCCAATCCACTAAGTATAAAAATATGCTGTTTCAGATTCAGAATAATTTAATAACTCTTCATGATTTCATATGTATCTGGAAATGGGACAGAAACGTGTCCCGATCCCGTCACAAGAGGTAGAATCCCAGCATTCGGTACCACGTTCCAGGACAGGGTGAGGGTGACATTCCTGTTGCCCCTGTAAAAACACATGACAAACAGATGTCAACAGAAACACTTGTAGCTCAAGAACATCATTTTAATAAAAGCACTGAGATGTCAGAGGGTTTGTTTATAACTAGCTATTCCCAAGTGGAAACCTAACCTACAAATGGAAGTTTCCTCAAGTCTTTTAAAATCCAGGACCACTGGGAAAGACCCGCACTCCATAATGCCCCACCCAAACCCATGTTTCTAGAACTATCGACCGAAAGCTGAAACGAGGACAACACAGAATAACCACCCAGACCTGAGGGGAATCTCGAGATAGTGCTGCGAACCCAACTCCATCCCTTCTAGAGGGGCAAAGCAAACACACCCGTCAGAGAGCGCGCGCTAACATGACCCAGATCAATCATTCTAGCTCCTTTCTCTGAAACTGAGGTTCAGAGAAGCTAAGAGAACCAACACTAGAAACCTCAGTATCAGCTGGGCCAACGCACTATTTCCTCATCAAGGTTCCCCAGTAAGTTCCTCTTTGTCCCCAGAGGAGCCTGTGCAAGCAGGTCCCCTCCCACGAGGCAGCCTGGGCCCTGTGCATCTGGAGCAGAAGCTGCCAGACCTCAGCTGACAGTCCAGACATGCCAGGGACTGAGTCCGGATCTCAGATCTCAGTCCACACACAGCAGGGACTGAGCCTGGGTCTCAGACCTCAGGCCGCAGAGGGCAGGGACTGAGCCCGAATCTTAGATCCGTTTGTAGGGCAGTGTTTCCAGGCCATCTTCCAGGTCAGATCTGTATAGACACTTGGCTTCTCTCCCTACCTTCCTTTTTACCCTCTAATATATATATATATATATGTATATATATATATATATATTTTAATAAAAATCCATCTTTCCCCTTCACATTTCATTAAATGTAAAAAAAAAAAAAAAAAAAAA